TTGGCCGGCGCGTTTTTCAAATTTTCGGGAGCAAAAAAAAAAAAAATGTGCTCACTACCCCCCCCCCCCCCCCCCCCCCCCCCCAACTGAGCGACTTTTCGGCCGGCGCGATTTTCAAATTTTCGGGAGCAAAAAAAAAAAAAGTTGGGCCCCCTCCCCTAAGAAATCCTGGATCCGCGCCTGTCGTCTACTACCCTATTGGTCTATTCCCATATGGTCTACACATAGTAAGTCTACTATCCACATGGTCCAATAATTATTTTGTCTTCTTATCATTTGGTCTAAAGACCTTTTAGGCTAATAGTCATTTGGTCTAATTCCCAGTTTGTCTAATCTCCAGTCTACTACCTATTTGGTCTATCACTCATTTGGCATTTGGTTTAAATGTCAGTCGGTCTAATTCCCAGTTTGTCCAATGCTCATTACGTCTACCATCTATATAATAAGGTCTTATAATCATTCGATGATTATTATTACAATAATGATTAAATGATTAAGAGACCATGTGGATAGTAGACGGGCTGGGTGTGGACCATATTAGACTAAATGGGTAGTAGACAAACTGGTTTAGACCAAACAGCAATTCACCTTTCGATCTTGTGGAGCTTAACCACGCACTTTACATTAAGCTTTAAAAATAGAAATAACAGTTACATAGATGTCCCTTATATTTATTTCTAGCATCAAGGTCGCATTTAAAAATATTACCCTGTCAAAAAAAAAGATTAAAACAAGATAGAATATGCTGCATAAGTATGGTGAAGTAGATATACAGTAGGCTTGTGGTTGCACCATGTGAGAGGGGAGAGTTGGGAAGTCCTGAAAAGGACCGTCGCTGTGTGGTAATCTTTCTTCTGTAGAGAGAGAGAGAGAGAAAGAGGAAGGGATGGTACAAGAACTAGTTCTTTATCTCAGTGCACATATCTAATAATTTCATGGCAGTGCACAGACATTTATCTTTTAAAAAAATCACTTAAAAACTCAAAGAAAAAACTTTCTTCTAAAAAAAGACTGTGGTAGTCCTAAAAGATCTGGTGTAATCTTTCTGAGCTTGTAGTTCTAAAAAGAACTACCACAGTCCTTTTTAGGACTACACAAGAAAGCTTAACAGTGACGGTCCTTTTCAAGACTTCCCAACTCTCCCCTCTCACATGGTACAAAAGTAAGCCTACTGTATAAGATAGAATATAACTTTGATTTATATGCATTGCTATTTTTCTTTTTTTTCAGAGATCCCAACTCAATCCCAATTATTGTTTCAAATATTTTGATACTGACTAAAATTTTGGTGTATTCTGATGATTGATGTATGGCAAACTGTTAATTTTAAGCAGATTAATCAATTATCGTCTAATTGTAATTATAGCCTAATTGTAATTATACTTAGTGTCCTTCAACAAAAATAATTCAATTGTCAAAGGTTATAAAAGTGAAACGTTAACTTGAAACTACTGAACAATGGAAACAAAAGCACTGAAAGTAGTAGTAAATCATTTATTATTCACTTTATTTTTCACCTTTCTCTTTTTATATAAAGCCATTATATAGGTTATTTTTTTTTACTACATACGACTAAACACAGAATTGTCGAAAGTACATGAAAATGTATACTCTACTACAAAGATATTGCAGATACGTTAAGAATGAGTGAGCAAGTCAATAATAATATCATGGCAAGCGAAATTAAATTGTTTTTCTGTTTTTCATTGCATATAAAGCAAAAACAACAAAAAAGGCAAACAGTAACACTGAATGAGGAATTTCACCTCAAAATTAGCTAAACTTACAGGCAGGATATCTGTACTTATTCTTTTGCATTTGAATGTTTTTGTGTCATAACATGCTATACTAATGATTACTAACTTAAGCATATATGCACCAATTTAGGATCACTGAAGAGAAAAAAAGGAGGTGGAAAATGGAGAACAGTTAACAGATATTAATACATAGCGGTGGATAGAAAAATAAGAAGAAGAAGAAAAATATGGAAAGAAGTCGATGAAAAATGAAAACAGGAAGAAGCCAAGATGCAAAAGAAATACCAATATGAAAATCCACTATGACACATGGAACTATGAAATCACATCATAAGCAATATAAAACTGATATTAAAAGCAAAATTGAGCTCAAATAAGCTCAGATAAAGTACAAAATAATCTATAAATTCTAGAAAGAAAGACTAAATTCCATATACCTCAATAAGAAGTGTGCAGAAATAGACTGGAAAAAAAATCTATCATTAACACTATGAATATACAAAAATGCTTTGAAAAGTATATAAAAATATATTCCTACAATACAAGTGTATAGAATAACTAATTTCCAACTGTTATCATATAAATACACTGCAAGTAAATATATCGCATGATTAAGTAAGGCACATACAGAATTAATACAAATGGCGACTTCTATACAAAATTGATTATCTGAAAAGTGATTATATTATATTAGCTCACATTTTAGTAAGTGAATATTAAGCTTTCATTATTATGCTCAATAATTTACATGTTTAAAAGGCAAAGTACAAGGTACATATATTACAGTACAACAAGTTAGGTAGAACGTTAGATACTGTTTTATGAAGGACAATATGCGTAAAAACATAATATATTATTCAAATTGCAGAAATACAATCAAGCTAAATTGAAGTACTGATTGCGAATGAATACAAAAAATGGTCACAAAAATGTTGTTCCCCCATCACAGTACAGCAGAGTTGTCCAAACAAGAAATATACAAATATATTTGAAGGGGAAGTTTAGTGGTAATAATACAACAAGTACAACAACCTTTAGAATTAAACACAATTTTTTTACATGTAATGATTAGTACTTCTGCTTAAAATTGGAAGAATACTGCAAAACAACTGAAGAATACCAATAATATACCTTCTTCTAATGGCCATTCCTTCTTATAATGGTCGAACATAGCCCAAAACTTAAAATATACAACAAAACAAAAAAATTGTTGTGATATACATCTATATTATGTCTGGATAACCATTGACCCTAGCTCAACATTATTGAATAGATTGCTTAAAATTTGATGTTCAGTGGTACCACATATAATATTGAATAGTATGTTCTAAGACACAGTTTTTAAGATATCACCATCGCCAGTACATGAATCATATAATTTTTCCTTTCAGTAAATTGGCAATAACTTTGGGGTTTTGTTCAAATCTAAATCTTAATAGACCATCTCACCGGGGAAGTACAGGATAGAAAAATAGCCCAAGAAGATAATACCTTATGAATCACTTTTAATAGCGGAAAAATAAGAAACACCCTCTGTCAATGTCACATATATACATTTAAATGGTATATTCTGGAACATAATAATCAGCCATTCAGAAACCTCTTTTACATTTTCTACAATGCTCATAATCACAAAAGTACAAGTTATCACCAAGAATGTGGAGTTCTTTACATCAGAGTATAACTTGATTTGGTCTCAACAAGAAGACGCACTCTGCTATTCTGTGTATGTTCTCAAATTCAAAGCCTTTCAAGTTAAAGGCACTTCCCACACCATAGGTTAACCAACAGCATTTGAACATAATCATACAAATTTGAAATATAAAAACAAGTATGTATATTCATTTCACATCTACTATTTTACTACTACAATACTGTTTTTTTAGCCAGTGAAAGTACTGAGTATAATGACATACACTAGAGATATAAATGTACTGAAATGGATTAGTTGTACACAAAATGCCTGTCTCACAGCAACATGCTCGTTAGAATATACGCTGAGGCCACCAGCTACACTCAGCATATATTCCAATAATTACGATTTGGTAACGAAAGGAAACTTCAAGACAAGAGATATAATGAATTGAAAATGGTGAACGGAACACAAAAGTCAATGAGTGAAGGGAGGGGTGGACGGCTTCATATAATCTGCTCTTTAAATTCCCTTCTCCCTTTCTTTTCCTCTTTAGTTCCCCTTCCCCCTTCTTTTTCTAGTTCTCTCCCACTCCCTCCTTTCTTTTCTTCTTTGGTTTTCTCTCCCCTTTCCTTTTCTTTTCCTCTTCACTTTTCTCTCCCCTTTCTCCTTTCTTTTCCTCTGTTGTTGCCCCCCTTTCCTCCTTCATTTTTCTCTTTAGGTCTCCCCCGTTCCCCCTTTCTTTTTGTCTTTCAATTGCAGGGTGGGCAAGTGACCCTTTATAATACCCCCATGGTAGCTAGGCCACTGCTAAAGATACATGTATATACATAAACGAGAGAAAAACTTCACAGAATTGCAATACATTTTTTGAATACAATGCTAGCCCTGCCTAAAATCAACACAGCAATTTAGAAAATAGACTTTGCTCCAGATTAAGCGTTATGTTACATGATTTTAAGTTCAAATAAAGAGGATGGAAGAAAATGGTGGAGGGATTCAAATGGTACCAAAATCTTACCAGAGCATTGTAGCACATCAACATTTAACCTTTTCACCACAGACAGTTGAGTGGACTTGGACTTTTGTTGAAACAATAGTAGGAGTTAGTTGGCTACCAGTTATGGAAAACCCAATCAACTTTGACCTAACCTTGCTCATATCATTCTAAGGTACTTTCTTAATCACCAAAGAGATTTAGCTATATAGCAACTGCAGGGTTACCAAATGATTACAACTCCATATCATCATCTTACTGCACTTTGATATTTGGAGAGGCTTCATCATTTACACAACTAATCACCATGGAAACAAAGGTAGCATCTGGAAGATTACTGAAAATTGTAAACTTTACAACTAGGTGTAAAACTGCACAAATATGGATTGATTCCATTTGCTACAAACTTGTTGGTCAATATTAACTCCAAGGTGCTGCAAAAACCAGAAACTTCACAACATGAAACTGTCAGGAACTGTTTGTCATGATGGTCATTTTCATGGCAAGAACCTTTAGCAAACTGCAAATATTCTGTGTTGTGATCTAATAATTTTGTGGAATGAAACTTTAGAAAATCTCAACCACCCACAAAATTTGTGAAAGTTTCTGGTTTCACAGAATGAGCTGGGAGTATAGCAATGACGCTGGATCTTTGGTGCATCTGGTCTCATATATACATCTCTGTTCCTTCATCTTCTCCATCATCAGGGTTATTGGTAGAGATCCACCGCCCTATGGAGGATGCAAGGGCAGCTACCCATCTATCATGGAAAATTGAGAAGGAAAAAAAGAATTACAATAAGGACGATCATAGCATTCTTTGACATATAATTTTGTCTTGAGTTGCAAATAAATTGATGAAACGCTGGAGAGTCTACAAAATGATTATTGTTGGGAGTGCTACCTTTCTACCCTTCTTTATTTTTCATGGAATCTGTATTTAGAAACTAAACTGGTTACTGATTCACATGATCATGAGGATTGATGATGATGAAGTTGTTGATGATGATAATGTTGACAATGTAAGATTAAGTGGTGATGATGACAACTAGATAACCATGACTGTGGTGAAAATGTTGAAAATTATGATTATAATACATGATGATGAGGAGGAGGAGGAGGATTAATGATGTCGAAAATGTTGATAATAATCATGTTAATGACAATGTAAGATTAAGTGGTGATGATTACAACCTGATTACCACGACTGTGGTGAAAATGATGATGATTATGATGACGATACATGAAGATGATGAGGAGGAGGATTAATGATGATGAAAATGTTGATGATCATCATGTTAATGACAATGTAGGATTTAGGAATGATGATAACAGATAATGAATATGATGAAATTGGTGATGTTGAAGGTGATGGTGATGATGATGATGATGGTGGTGGTAATGACGATGATGATGATGATGATGATGCTGATGATGATGATGATGATGATGGTGATGATGATGATGATGATGATGATGATGATGATGATGTTTATGATGATGATGATGATGATGATGCTGCTGCTGCTGATGATGATAATGCTGATGATTATGATGATGATGATGATGATGCTGATGATTATGATGATGATGATGATGATGATGATGCTGATGATGATGATGATGATGATGATGGTGATGGTGATGATGACGATGATGCTGATGATGATGATGCTGATGATGATGATGATGCTGCTGCTGCTGCTGCTGCTGCTGATGATGATGATGATGATGATGATGATGCTGCTGCTGCTGATGATGATGATGATGATGATGATGAGGGTGATGATGACGATGATGAAGAGGGTAAATAACTAAGATCAAGACATCCAGGTGAAATACACTGATCGCCAGACACATCTTTAAGTATCTCCCAATTCAACTAAACTAACTTGGTGACTTCAAAATACCTTTTACGATCTGTGTCGTGATCTGCAAAGAAGTAGAACTCTCTCAGCTCCTCATCCGGTGGCTTGAGGATGAAGGCAAACTTCTTACCCTTCAGCTCCGACTCCTGGATGCTGTAACCATGGAGATGGACCACACCTAGAGATCAAAATGATTTACATTCATTTACATTTTCTCTATGCAAGTTGTTCAAATGAATTTCATAATTGTAGGATAAAGTTATTATCCAATGTAACTCTCATTGCCATCATTTCTTTTTTGCAATACAGGCTAAACAAATTCTTTCCATCTGTTCTCTTGGCAATGCAGACTTTGATTTTAACAAGGGTAATTCAACTTTCAATTCTACTAGGAGGACCCGTGGAAAATCCACGGGATTCTAGGGGGTGGGTGGTTGTTAATGATGTGCTATCGATTTTTTAAATTTTCATGTTTGTTTTTCTGTTTTTGTTCCCCCTTTTATTTTCAATTTCATTTTCCCTCTTGGTATAGGCCTACTTTTTATCATTTTATTCTTTTTCTACTCTTGTTATTAATATTTAATTCGATAGAATATTAACCTTTTGTTGGCTGTTTCATATATCATTTTGAAATGTTTTTTTTTATTTGCAACATATAATAAAACTTGAAGATTGAAAGAAAAAATTAAATAAGTAATTTGTAAACAAACTGATGCAAACTATTTTACGCTTTAACTTTCGTTTTCACTTTCATTATTTATGATTATTGTTTTTCATTCATTCCCATATATATCCTTATTCTCATTATCCATTTCCCGTCCAGTTTCTTACGAATACTGTTCTCAATCCTCCCATTCTCATTTTTCATATTTTCACTCATCTCTAATTAGAACTTGTCCCAAATCAAAACATGAGTAACAATAATTGTTTAACTTGGCTTAACATACATTATTAAAACTAAATTAACAAAATGATATTTTGCATGGATGATACAAAAAACTTCAGAGAGGTCCCAGAGGTCTCAGTGAAAATATACAAATATTGACTGCTCATGAGGATGAAATTATCATTTCCAAGGTGGGGTTCATACCGGTCCTTCTATCACCCGAAGGGCCAGTATTTGAACGAAATCGAGGGAGTGATAATTTCCACCACCATCCAATTACAGAGCAGTCCTTATTTTTTTTGTTTATCCCTCATGCTTTCATTAACAGGTCAGTAGAAAAGAAATCCAACATCAAGAGTCTATTTAACATATTTACAGTCTTTCGGAGTTCAAAAGTTTCAAATAACCAACGCTAAACGAAATCAAACATACGGAAATCAAATCTATACAGTGTAGTGCAGTAACTGCGGCGCAGCGTAAAACCATAGACGTAATGCTTGAGCGCCGTGATGACCCGCCTGAGTTGGGGGCTGGAAGGCATTTGAAATCCTGTTTGCTCTGTGTGTGTGCATAAATCGCAGATTGGTTAGGCGTACTATCACAGATATATTTGCGTTATTATTGTTGTTATTTCGAGGTAGTTTTCATGAAAAGACCAATAAAACAGAAGCTTGGACTATGAATATGTTGGCATAGATCACAGAATTTTTATAATTATTTTCAGAGTAAAGATTTTACGCGAAAATAGGTCGAATCGAGTGTGTGTACATGTGTGACGGTGAGCGTGAAATACACGTATACTATGGGCGCCTGGCCTACAAAGCATATCCTATAGAAAGACGCATAACACGGGTAAGCCCAACCCGTGAGAGCGTGCATTTCTTACACCCCCTCATCCGCGTGAGTCATCTGTTGATGTGTATTTCTCTTACACGCTACAAAGCGAATCCTATAGCAAGAGGCCTTACTCAAGATACGCCGCAGCCTTTACAATGAGACTTGCTACACACGTTGACGCGAGTGGATTCTCGTCTATCGTGTGTCTCTTCGTCTCTCTTTGATAATTAGACAGAGGGCGGGTGCACGCCTTGTCAACTCGCTCTCGCGGGTTCGTCGCCTCCTCGCAATCCACGACGCCCGCCGTGCTTTCGTCCGCCCGTCCTCCCCGGCACCCCGAAACCGCGTTTAACGGCATGGACGTCGATCGCGGGGTCGAGGTGGCACGCGGGTTACGGGAGACAGGCCTCATGGAATTGTGCCACCGTTCCCGCGCCACGGCGGAGGCGAGCGGGGTCGGGGAAAGGCGTTTTTGAGGAACCGTTTTGCCCCGTTTTGGACCCCCGCGGCGATTTTGCGTATTAATAATATAGATGACCACTGGAACTTTTTGTATACATATTTTGGGTGTCCCTTTCAGTAGATGTCTTTAACATCCCATTTCATTTGGTAAGCATACTTATTTTTGAACTAATATTCACTTCCTCACTAAAATCTACTCTTCATTGGATAAAAAGCAATCTCATGCATGATCAGCGCATTTAATAAATACTCAACATACTAAAACAGACAACAAACATATCCTTAAAGCCCATCTGCACTATTTTGGCCAGGAGGGATTAGACCACCCAGCATGGTCACTGACAGGTGGCTATCTCATCAACTCAGCTCTCAATTAACATAATTATAGAAAAAGAGGATCATGGGGGGACCAACGGGCACCGCTTAGGCATTGTTTTCTACATAGATGGAGCAAGTAGCTACAAGTAGTACAGTGGGGTTTTAACTCAAATCAGTTAAATAATTTCTACTTTGAGACAAACAACAAACCTTGTGCATCCAGGGCATCCATCTCCTTGTAATAATAGAGACAGGCATCCTTGAGAACACAGAACCGTCTCCGAGCGTTCTTCATCTTGCCGTTCCATTTGGTGAGGAACCCATTGCATTCTGGGTCTTTGATTGACAGGGCCGGCAAGCTCACGTTATGGGTGCTTATGTCCAGCCAGACGTCTGTCTTGTGGCTCGGGTTGGCCGCGTCGTTGATGGCCTTACCCCAACTGGACAAAGAGATATAGGTTTGAAGAATAATCTTTTGATTTGATTTGATTTATTGATTTCTATATAAATTTTAAACATATATATCTTAGACATACATTATGTCAGTGGTGTCCCATATAAAAGGTGAGCTATTCAATCTAATCAAGTAATCCTTAGTGTGCTTCTTTCATACCATTTACAAACTATGTTGATGGCATTACCCAACTGATGGACGGACATAAATTTAGTTTAAAAACAGAGGTGGACCATCAATTCTAGTCAAGTAACAATTGGTGTGATTATTTTAAAGCATTTTGTCTGCTGGAGAGCTAGAAGGTCATTCAGAATATACATAAAAGAGTATTTCAGTAAATTCCCCACTAGCTGACAGCTGACGATTAACATAATTTGTCGAGCCACAGAAAATAAATTGAACTTTTTGCTTTGAAATCAACTACATTGTCTTATTATTTTTAACCATTAATCCACTCCAGCAACGACATCATAGGACATTCCTAATACATATATAAGTGCTTCAGGGGTTTTCCCTCGCCTGGCCAGCCAGATGACAAAATATGTAGAGGTATAGCAGGTCTACCATTATGAATGTTTACTTTGGGTAAACGTAACATGATAACTTGATATAAACAGGTACGCTCAACAGGACTGCTCACATAAAACAATGAGATGGTACTGAGAGGATCAAATATTAGCTTATCAAAACACAAACTTATCAACACAGTTGGCCCTCTGCCTATGGGAACTGGGTGATCCCTGTATTAAGCCTACCCGTATGTGGATTAGAGGATACAGTAGTCACTGGATTAAGATAAAGAATGAAGAAAAAAAGTGGGGATAACTGGGCTATAAACCAGGGACCTGCAAGTTCAAAGCCCATTGCTCATATCACTGAGGTATATAGTCCCTTCATCGAGCTGATTTTCTGACACATTTGACAAAAATCAAAGGAAAGAAGAAAACGATTTCTTACCTGCTCATCTCCTCCTCATTGGCCGTGTAGAAGACATATGTTCTGGCGCCCTCTTTGGTGAGTTTAAATGAGAATTGTTTGCCGGCATCCCTAGCCTTGGTTACTGTGTAGTTCTGCAGGACTATTGCTCCCTGAGGAAGTTTATCCTGCATGGAAAATATATTGAAGGAGAGATAATGTACTTATTAATAATATAGATTAGGGATGAAGAATAACAGTCAAACCTGCTTTAGTGACCACCTGTCTACAAAGACCACATTTTTGTTTCCCTTGAAAATGGTTTTTCATTGAAACATGTACTAAAGGAACCTGGCTACAAAGACGGCCACTTTTTGTGTTTCCCTTAGGAGGTCACTAAAGACAGGTCTGACTGTATATTCATTTTGAAACCACTGGTAAGAGCTATAATTATTGTCAGATGAGGGCAGAAAATCTTAGCTTTGACTTACAATTAACATCTTTCTGGCTCTCAGTAGATGATAGTCTAACCTCGTGCTTCTGTTCAAACATTAGAACATAAGTGAGCCATTCTGTGATTTGAAATCTGAATTAAAATTCTATCCAAGCATAATATGTATTGTCTGCATTATTACAAAGTTTTCACAGTATTTATACTATCTGCTGAAAGAATTAATCCAGGCTCTTCTGGCTCGAAGCAGGCATGTAAAGTATGTCAAAGAAACACATATTTGATGTCAATAAATCCTAGAAAGAGAGCAAAGGTGAATTAATCTGAAAATAGACTCACGTTTTCAGTCTTGTAGAAGTACAGGCAGTTGTCATGTTTTAGAACAAACCATCTTTTCCTCCACTGTTTGATCGGACCAGCGTTCGCCATCTTGTGCATGAAGCCACTCATGATGGTATGATCACCTTGGATATTGAGACTGTTGCATACCACAGTCCCTACAACAATCACCAATGGCTCCGGAGCTGCAACAGCAACAACAACAACATCAAGATATCATTGACATCATTTGGTAACATAATCTTATTGGCGGATAATTCAGTGAATGTTACTATGGATGTCCTATAATCAGCATCATGATAACACTTCTTACAAAGAACATGATGGCGATAAAGATGACCATTACATACCTTCTGTGGCTATCTTGACCACTTCTGAATGGCGTACTTGTCTCACGTCTTGACCGTTGACTTTAATGACCATATCACCGACCTTTAACCCTGCATTCTCTGCAGCACCTCCTGAATGGCATAGAAAATTGGTTGTGAGCGATGAACAAACATGGAAAGATAAATTTCATCTTATAATTTATGTAACCTATAAGTGCCAGCAGTCTAGGAACAAGAATTCTGCAATTCAAAACCAATCTTATGCACCAAGGTGGCTTTAGGATGAACCAATAAGTATCTACAGCTGGGAAATTATGAAATTCTAGATACGGTATGTTGTTTGGTACATGTTTTAAAAGAACCCATCAAAAACCAGGATGGATATTTTGACAAAATGGAGAACTATACTCACAAGGGTAATCATAGGGTTGACAATTGAAACTCTAACCCTAACCCTACACCTTTGACAAAATAAAGTCTGTCAGCATTGTCCAACTAAATAGCAAAATAGCTTGGACTTGTCCTGAAACAACCTAGTTCTAAGGGTGGACTGTCTCTTTTAATTGTAAGAAGTCGTAACCTGACACCTACCCCCTGGACATCCACCCCCCGGATAACCATCCCCAGTCAACTACTCCCTAGGACAACTACCCCCTTGGACAACCATCCTCTAGGACGACTACCCCCCCCCCCCTCCCCCCCCCCCCCTCCCCTCCGGGACAACTACTCCCCAGAAAACTATCCTAGGCCAAGTAGCCCCTAGGATAGTTGTCCAGGGGGTAGTTAACTAGTGGTTATCCGGGGGGTGTATGTCCAGGGAGTAGGTGTCCTAGAACAGTAAGAAGTATCTAACCTGGGTCTAAGGTCGTAATAACCACTGGTTTGCTCTTCTGTATCCTCAAGCCATAGGTGCCATCTTGTCTGCGAAGAGTGATCGTCCGCTCTCGACCTAAGGGGACATAACAATACAGGGTGACAGGAAAAATTTGAAAAAAGAGAGAAAGAAAAAAATCATTGTGGTTCAAGTGGGCATCTAAAAATACTTTGCAACAGTTCTAGGAAGGTGTGAGGCAAACATGTTATCATTAAATGTGTTAGAAAAATAAAAACTCTTCTGTATATATCCATGTTGTCTGAGAGAGTTCCATATATAAATACACTCAGTGAATAAGTACTGGTATTTTAAGCATATAATCTATTTGGAAGTGGGATATCTCAATTTATTTAGAGAACTCTTGCTCCTTCAAGCACGGTCTACAAAGCAAATTTTTTGTTGGTACAGTGCTCTCTATTGTTACATCCTACAAGGAAACTGTGAGTATATTAAATTTTAACGGATATCCATTGCCGTTTTCGTTCTGGCAATGTAATAACAAAATGTCCTTGTCTGAAGAACGGCAGAATGTTGTAATTCTCATTGGATAATGGCAATAACTGCAGCAAAGTGGATTCGGATGGTTGGTTCTAGCTGTTATTTAGTACATGGGAATATGAGGATTTCAGGAGTCAAGGGGTTCACGAAAATCACTGCAGTGAGTGTGACTGCCTGACTAGGACTAACTAGAAGCCAAGAACTTACTTATTCTGGACAATCGCACAAAGTCCTCAGAGCCCCTCCTTCTCTGGATGCGATGAGGACGCTCTCCGAAGCTGGATTTGAACTCCTGCTCGGAGGCTGTGGTAGCGAGCGATGATGACTCCGAGAGGTGGCTGATCGTGTCTTTGGCCTCATCTGCTTCAGCATCTAAGTGTTTGAAATTGTTGCAAAAATATACACTTTATTAGTTTTCCAGGAGGGAAATATTTCCAATTAAAAAACATAAAAGTTTCTCCCACATCCCTTTGTATACAAGAGTTTGTCCTTAGCCTGGTCCAGCTTCACAGGGATCATTGGCTTTCACAATTTTCCAATGAGTGATATCTTTCACTAATTATGTAATAATTCTTTGTTACATTGAAATATGAAACTTTAACTACAAATGGTTAACACATTTTAATGAAGCTAAAATTTGGATGGAATATTGATGTTAGAACATGCAACTACAAGGTAGGACTAACAATGATGAGTTATGCAAGACATACGCACACCAAGGTGACATACCATTTTCAGGATCAGGTTGTGCGCTCATCCTAAGCTCCTCATCAGTCTCGCGATATTTCCAGTCTTTCTTTTTGTAGCCCGCATCATAGATGTCAATCTTATCATACATATTCCTATTGTCGTCATCATCATCATTATCTTCATCATCGTCCTGACTGGAATCAAGACTTCTGGGCTCTTTGACGATGGGTTGACAGGGGACCAGCGATGAAGAACTGCTCGACGTTGAGGAATCACCCTCCACACGGGTGAATTGCGGAACGAGGGGCTCTGGCATGGTTGTCACAGAGACAGTCACTGCAGCCACTTCAGACCAGGGCTTATTGATGGCATGCTCTGACCGTTGCGAAAGGCACTCTGCACTGTCGCTTAATGGTTCTGATTCAGTGATACTAATAGCGACAGACTGATTCTCACTGAGATTAGAGAGGGTGTCTGCTGGTCCTGATATAAGGGTTGGATTGCCAGCAGGGACCTCCACAGAGGGACTTCTTAGTGCAGCATTCCCTACTGGCTCGATAGTAGCAAAGTGGCGGAACTGTTGGGGATTGTTCCCTTGCTGTAAAGCACTCATTTCTGTTGGTTCATCTGCTGATAAAGCGATAGAGGTCTGATCTACAAAAGCTGTTTGTGTACACATGGAGCTGGATGGCATACCGCCTATGAACACTTCCTCCTCTCCATCTGAATCCACACGAGTCACAACAGCTCCTGCTCCTCCTCCATTGACGATGTGCTCCTCTCTGGATGCATCATCCTCTGCACCACTAGCAACTTCCATGTCGCCAGTGAGGGAGCTTTCATCATCTTCATCACTCTCTACGTTGACACTCCTCACCCGATGGCTAAGACTGATCTTTGGTCGAGAAAAAGACCTGGAAACAGAGCTTCTTGGAGCTGGGAGAGGTCGTACAGCAACCTCCCCTTCCAAGGGGGTGGTAGAGACATCTGAAGTGGTGGATGCTCTCCCAACTTCTAGTTCTTCTGGTGTTGCCCCAGGACGCATTCTTGGAGGTTTTGACGGTCTGTCCTCCTCTGAAGTGGCGCCTTGATCCTCTTGAACAGCCGCTGATTTACTATGGACATTTTCAATTACAGAAGAATTCTCTTCTGCCACCTCTTTTTTCCCTTTCTTTGGATCTTTTTTAGGTTTCTTCTTAGAGTCCTTGCTTTTAGAGTTTTCAGAAACTGCTTTTTCCTTTCCAGAAGCTTCATACTGCTCATGGAACTCTCCTGAGGAATACTTCAGCACTCCAGGCTTCTTCTTCCTTGATAACGAAAATACCCGCTTCCCCATCTCATCAAATTCTTCCTCACTCTCTTCTTCTTCCTCACTTGCTCCTCTGCCCTCCTCAGTTAATTCCTGCGCAAGTTCTTCTTTGGCATCCTCTCTTTCTTGAAGTTCTTGTTGTTCTTGCCCTTTTGTTTCTTTGCTTTTCTCAATTTCCTGACTGACTCCCGATTGGTTAATTTCTAATTCTTCTGAACTGGATACAGGTACATGTATATCCTCAGCAGCTAAGTCAACATATTCACCTATAGTAGTTTCACCAACTTCAATCTCAGCGTTCGATGGATCATCAGTATTTTCTGGAGTTCTAGTGTCTTTTTGAAGGGCTATATGGTTATCACCCTGACCTTCTACGACAGCAGAGCTTGATTTAGACTGTTCAACAGTGGGTTCTTGAATACTGCTATGCTCTTGTAGAGGAACAACCTGGTCATTCTCTTTTGCTTTGGTATCTTCCTCAACCTCAGTGTTGCCTTGAGCCGCTGCTGTCAGTGAAACAAGGACAATGTCTTCATCATTTTCCGCAATGTGTCCTTCCTTTTCTTGAAGATCTCCAAAATCACTGATGCTGGAGTTCTGTCCTTTCAAATTGTCCTTTTCATCAGGATCAGAGGTCTCTGCATGAACCCTTGTTTCCTCCGCTTCTTCTTCGTCTTCTTCTGCAATCTCCGGCTGGACCTCAAAGACTCCACATTCGTCCTCACTGTCTGAACCAAGGCGGCTGCTTCCCTGGCTGCGGACAGATTGGGACTTTTGACTTTTGAAAGAACTGCCACCTCTGCTTCTATCTGTGAAAGACGAGAACATCAAACCAATAAGTACCAACATTATAAAAAAATAAATAGTTCTTGTTTGTACAGGGAGAGTTACAATGGCACTGGAAAGAGTTGATCCTTCATAAACATGATATCATGCAGACATTACGGTTCAATAGAAAGAGTAATGATCTAAGAAATGTCTAAAAACAAATTACTAGCATTGGTGCCAATGGATAATGCATTAATTCTCTATCACCTAGCCCCTTTAAAGCTATACGTTCTAGAACCTCAAGAGCCTACATGTATTTCCTGGGAAATACTTCCTCTCTTGCTGCTCAGATAAAGGAAATAAAAAATTCATTCTCTTGTTGTCACAATTATAAACAGATCCATTCTTGGTTGTCAAACCAACAATTGATTTTTGTTATTGCAATGTACTTGAACCTTTATCTTTGACTAATTAAACCCTCAATCGTTAGATCAGGATATGGAATAAACAATCTTGCATAATAATAGAATCCCCTGATTATACTTACTTAGAAAGTCATAAGAGTCTAAAGAAGACACCTCTGAAGTAACATCTGAAGTAACGCTTGACAGAGATCGACGCGGGGCAGGAACGGGAGGCTTTGTAAATTCTACAGATTCCTCCTTTGTTGAATCTTCAGTTTCCTCAAAGGCATCATCATCATCATCACATGATGTAGGATCTGTTGCGACACTTTGGTTTTCTGGCTGGTATGTAGGTATGGAGTTGGCAGTGACGTCTGAAGAAGCACTCAAATTATTAAGACTGTCCTGTACAGCTGCGGGTGAATCACTATCAGGAACAATATCTGTGTCAGGAACAGGTGAATCATCAGCACTTCCACTTGCTGATGTTCCACAGGTTTGGGTGATTGAAGTCTCTAAAGCATCTTCTTTAGGAGAACTGTCATTATTTATACTTTCATTGTCTTGTGGCGATGGAACTTCTGAAGAGTCTTCACCCCTCACAGAAGTATCAACGGGCAAATCAGAAGGGGTTGCAGCAGTATTGTCTATAGAGTTACTCTTCAAAGTTTCACGATGTCCTAGTTCATCATTCGGTGCATGACTTTCTAAATTCGCAGGATCTGAGTTTCTTAATACATCATCAGTGGATTGGCTAATTTGATTACTGTCAGCATCACCCGAGCTTTCTCTGCTTTCTTCAGGTGATGATGAATTATGGTCTATACTTTCACTTATTACACACTTTGGTTCCTCTTTCTCAGTCTTATCTTGTGGGGAAATCTCTGTTTGGTCACAGACAGACTCCTCAGAAGCAGGTGTACTCTTTTCCTCTGATATCGCTTCAGTTGTTCCTGTATTTTCCTTGAGGTCCAGGCATTGCTGTGGAGAAGCAATCCAAGATTTCCTCTTGAGTGGAGGCTTGGGCTTGGGCTTAAAGGCTACAGGAGGTGGAGTACCACCATTGGTCACCGCAGGGGCTGTCCCCGAAGAGGGCGTTGCACCAGCACTCACTGATCGAGGTCTTGATGATTCCAGAGGTGGTGGCTTAGGGGAAACGACCGGGGCTTGGCCAGGCTTTGGCTTTTGAGCAACCACTGGCGGTGGTTTGGAACTTTTGGTTGGTTTAGCTGCTGGGACAGGGAGAGCATCACTTGTGGCTCGTCTTGGCAGGGTTGGCTTGGCACGAGGCTTGGGGGCAGTCTTAGGTGGAGGAGTAACAACTCCTGCTCCTGAAAGAAATATGAAAAGAAAACCAAATGTTTTAAATTATTTTTAATTTTATTGAAAGATAATGTTGACACATGGTCCCATATATTGCCATCCAGTCAAAACAAAATCACAATTCTTGTGACATCTTTCTGCTTTCATTGTGCCATTTGCACTTGTTATCTTGAAGTTGATAGAAACGATAATATCTAACTTTTAAATGTTAACATTTTCAATAAGAAGCACTAGTATTGCTTGGTCCATATTAATTATAGTATTCATTTATTCTGGCCAGAAAAAAAGTTTAAACATTGAAGGTTTGAGGATATGATCATGTAACCTATTTGTAATAGTAAAGGTTTCCATGATTATTATTTGAACAAAGTGATAGAAATTCGAAAGGGGGACATCAATGTGTTATGAAGACTAGAATAGTAATATTCATCTATTCTGGCCAGAAAAAATATACATATTACCATGCAAAAAGCTTTCACACTAGCAGCTGTCCTTGAAATGTTTATTTATGAGCAATAAACATCTTGATATTAGCTTTCAATAAATTGATATGCTACAAATCTGGATCCACTATTTGTTTTAAAACTTTCATTCAAATTTCCCTACCAAGAATTTGAAGTAAATATCAGTATAATTAGAGCAGATTTGGTTTGGCATGTAGCTACATGCATTGCTAGTTCTTTTTGTATCATCAAGGATTTAATTTTAAAAAATTGTTATCCTAAATGGTTGATTTTAGTCAGACTATCACATTCAATGATTCTCCGTTTCATCATCCATTCACAAACATTCTCCTTTATGGTAAATCCTCTTTGTTTCCTGAGGCTTTATTTGATTTTCTATCTTAGGCTACTTGCCCTAAACCATGTCCATTTTTCACTTGTATTTTTTTGCCCCTTTAAGAGATATACAGAGAGGTATTATTACACGACTTGAACCACATATCAATTAAAGCAATTAAATCCGATTGAATGAGTTATGTGAGGAATTTACCTAAGCAACAAGGCATGAAAACAGTGCGTACCTCACCCATACTGAACTTTAAAGGTCATGAAAGTAAATGAAACCAAAGCAGGAACAAACCTGTACAAAACTTGTCAAAAATATCTATTTCACTTCCTTATGTTTGGGTAGTATATTGCATGGCAATAATTATCTAAATGTATTACAGAACAATGCAAAGCTTGTGTACTTTGTCATTATAACTCATAAAAAGCCCCACCCCCTTTCCCCCGTCACAAAATAAAACACAAAAAGTCATGTCACTTATATTTGAGGATATATAAACATTTGCAATAATTGAATGCAAATGCCAGTGCTACATGTACGTATCAAAGTTCTTTTAAAAGATTTGTGCCAATGAGTTAGATTAAAAACCTTCAGCTAACAAAATGCAATGAGTCCAATAGTGCATGCATGTAGACAATCATGTTTTCTACAAACATCAGATTGTCCACATCATACATGATTAATTAGAGCCAGAACTGTTCAAAGTTCATTTTGAAATTGGATTTGTAAATATGCCCAAAAGGAAAATAGGTTTGCAGAGCATATTTGAGGTTACATGGCTGACCTTGCAAACATTATGAAAATAGATTGAATGATTCATGAAACATATAATCTGAATGATTGAAATGTAGCCACGACTATCGGAGGATAGATTTAGTTGGGATAAAATTAAAATTAGATCAATTCAATCAAAGTAATAAAAATGTGCCAAAATGAAAAAATGTACATATACATGTACTGTAGGAATAACAGGTTTGGACATTTGGACAAATGTATGTTCTACCATGCTCAGTTAGGGATGTAACATGAGAACTGCCAAGCTAAAACAATGAAACATCCATTATACAGAATAAGTTTCATCTACTCTGTAGGCTAGATAGTCAGTAGACAGTATTTTCATCACAATTTTCTGTCTTCACAACCTTTCCAAATGACAACACTCCCCTAATCCCTGAGTGAAATGACAAATGACCCAGCAGGTCAAGTCAAAGGTCAAAGGCTCAGCCCATCATTCCAATCCTACTCAGGTGATATACCAGAAGATGTGTGGGAGAAAGAATTCAACTCCATATACAAGAAAACCTTACCATAGTCAGGGTGAACTAGAATAACAAGGAATAATAGGAACTAAACTAGGCAAAGGATTTTGGACAAAAGAGTAGAGACGTCAGAAGTGTGATGTCATACTGGCTAAGTTGTCAAGGTTGCTGGTTACGAATAAGTTTGTGCTAAACAATGGCATGGTGATTATACCAGCGCCAAACAATGAATTTGCCCTGCTCCAGCCTGTTGCTTGCAATGATTTCATGTGAACCTCATGTGCAGGCTCTGTTGTTTATAACCAGTAAACCTTCAAGACTTTAGCCCTATAATATTTCTTTAATAAATAGCAACATGACAAGTTCATGTTAATTTTAATTAAAAAGTAGTGAGAATTATAATCAGACTGCAGTATGAAGAACTCTAAAATACTAAATACTGTAGCAACATAAAAGAGCCATATTATAGGAATAGACCAGTTTAACTAACATATTCAAATTTTATGCATACCAAGAAGGTGGTTCTGGACAACCTGAAAATTTGCACAAGACTATTACCTGAAATAGCAACAAGTAATGTAGTTCATTCTTTAATAACAGGTTAACGGAATAACCTGCGAACACCACAAAAAACCAAAATCAATAAAAACCACCTCCGGAATGTTTTTTGTTGTTATTAACGCCTGCCCAAATTTCACAGATCTTTACCGTGTTAAAGCCCATATAAAGTGTTGGGAGCCCCAAAATTTCACTTAAATTGTACATAATGTGAAAGAGGATGTCATTTAAGACACATTTCTGCAAGGACTTTCAAAACAAATGTGTTTGAAGTTGAATATTGATGAAATAATACAGATCTGTTTTTGATGCTAGTGTAAATGTAAATGGCAGTCCAAAAAGATAATGATTTTTCAAAATGGTGTTTTAGCTGTGTAAATGAACGAATGGTGGCAAAAAGTACTACTTTGCAGTTTGCAACTCACTATCTTAGGTCTACTTCCCCCATTGTGCCTATCCTTTGCAGACAATCATAGATAAATCAATTGACATCTTAACATGTTCATTACGAGGCACAAGCATGTCAGTAGTCTCAGTACTTGACCTCTAATGACCTTCGCATAGCCAGACAGGTAACTTATATACTCATACTGTAAGGTCAATTCACTATGAAATTTTTAAAATCTTAGTATTAAAAAAATCATTTTCATCAACATAAATTCTTTTAGTACAATAAAATGTGAATCCCTTTTCAGTTATTATCATTTAACTATATTTGTAAGATATTTCTGCCTTTTTCTAGAATGAAAAAAACATCTTGTGGGTGTACATGTATTGAGTGCATCTGAGACATGCCAAATGCATACTCATTGATACCACAATCTTGTCAGTAAAAATTGAAACATTTACAGTAGAAGAATACAATAATTAATGATTCCACCCTGATAGTGGTGTAAATGAACCTTTTGCACAGTTTGTGAATGGTCAAGATTAGCAAAAGTTTTAATTCAAAATTATACCGCAATTGAATCACAACACTGAAATTAAATGGAACAACAGTAAAAGCTTGTGTGACAAGAGTATCTATTTCCCAAAGAAAATGTACACGAAGCTTTATACTATAATTTCCCAGAAGTGTAGCAGAGTGTAAACAGGCCCAGTAACCAGTGTGAACAAGGCCAGTGCCTTGACCTCTTCATAAAACTTGACCAACTTATCTCAAATAACAGCTGAATTTTTGAATTGTTTCACTGGTCATTGACAAACTATAATCATTGTATACATATTCTCCAAGTTCAAGTTGTATTCTCCAAATTGAGTGTGAAGCACGAAATAGGTTCATAAATTACAAAGCTATCCGTGGCCTAGTTTCCAATTCCAAGTGGAATGGTCTTTCTGAGAAGTCTGGAAGACTCCTTGACTGAACTTTTATTCTTCATTTTCTTGATAAATCATAGATTCTACATGTGTAATTTGTGCATGTGGCCTGACTTTACCTTGAGATTCATTAAATGTCATTTCCTGTATTACATGTACATGTAGGTCTGTCTTCATTAGCTTGTCTTCATTAGCTTGTCTTCATTAGCTTGAGATTGCCAAAAATATCCTGCTATTTGAACTATCCCGATAACAAATTATCCAGTTAATTTGCGTCTTCATCAGATCGAAGTTGCAATTAGCAGGGATATTTGGTTGAGATAATCATCCCAAGATATCTTGGGCTAGTTTGTAAAATATCCCTTTATTTGGCAGAAGACTTGCACTATGCACAAACACTGAGCAAATTTTCTTGAGCTAATTTTTTGAGCTTGAGTTATAAGTTTCCAGGTCAAGTCTCGAGCTGATGAAGACGCGATTTGTATTTTCAGGATATTACGCAAATCAGATATATAGCAGGCTATTTGGCAATCTGGAGCTGATGAGGACAAGCCTATTGTCTACCAGATCCATGCTCAGGTTTTGGATCCCGTTTAGTAATTAATCAGTAATTAATCTAGATACAGTATAATGGAGCAGAAATGTTTGTGGTGATAACTTGTTAAGAGTGTTTAGCCAGGCATAGGTCCATGGCTTAGCACACAACCAGGAACAAGTTCACATACATGTAGAAGTAGGCTAACACCACTTCCCTTGGATGTCTGAGCCATCAATACTCTACTCCATCAAGTCATGTGATGAGACCCACCTGACTAAAAAAAATGTATCAAAAAATAAACAGGAACCCTATATGTACTTGCATGTCAAACATGTTTCTTGGGAAGGATTACCGGTATCTTTTAAAGTTTCAGAAGATACACAATCTGTTGATTTGAATATCATGACCATTTTAGCAGATACACATCTTGCTGTTAATGGGGGTGTTTTTTTTTTTTTGGGGGGGGGGGGGGGGTGGGGTGGTGGTGGTGGGGGTGAAGGGCACTTTTAGTTAGTGCCTGGGTGGTTCAAATGTACAGGTAGGCAAA